CAAAGAGAAACCTTGTTATATCTCGTGTAGTGTAAGGAATTATATACAAATTAAACGGAAGAAGGAAGAAAACATTATATATATTTAATTTGACTTGTGGCCATTTAAGGCCGCTAATAGTAACACACCCGAGTGAACTTTATTACAAAATTTAATATAACTATTTGATCATAAAAAGAAAATGTTAATCTAAAATGATTGATAACAAAAATGCTAAAAAAAATATCTCGCGACAAAACTACTATAGTAATCATTGACGTACAAAGGAATTTTGTAGGGATGCAAAAGCGCGTTTTATTTTTAACCAAACAATGTAACTCAGTAAATTTGAAGTAAAATGAACATACGCATTAGCAGTTATAGGGACTTGTATTCGGACGGCGACGGCAACGACAAGGACAGACACAGTGATCAAACTATACACAAACACAAACAGTGTCTGTTTATAAGTCGAATGAAAGGGAATGTATATCAAGATTAAAACTTTCTGTCCCACAACATATTTTAATGAATGCTTTGTACCAATTTCCACAAATCGATAAGATAATAATAATAATAATAATGATAAGAAGAAAAAAATTGAAGAAAAGGGAGAACATTTCTTTTGAGTTGAAATCCAAACAATAGACTTTACAATGTAAAATACGAGTAAAAGAAAAGAAAATGAAATGAAAACAATAACAAGAAATAATATGACCAGTACTATTTATTAGATATTATCAAGCCTTTCCCTTACAAAGTCCAATGAACTTCCTAGACAAACTGGAAGTATTCAACGTGTAAAATTATTAAAGGAAATTATTACCTAGCATTTGAACCCGTAAGAACACCAAGAAGTTAAAATAAAAAGCTTTAAAAAACGTAGGCCTACCTTGGTGCAAAGAACGACTAAATGATAAGCGACAAAGAGTCTCAACTCAACACACAAAATCAAAATTGAAACAAGCATCTGACAAAGAGTATATACCAAACCTTATAAAGCTCAGCTGATAACAAAGGGGGTGAAATTACTCTGACACTAGCTGAATTATTCACAATTATCCAACTTCTTTCCACTTTTTTTTACACTTGTAAACATAAATTTACTCACAAGACAAATTTACTTCAATCAATTTCCACCGGGTCCTAGGCTGAATGAACTGTTCGTATCTGTGACCTCACCACGGCTGTCCTGCGTCCTCTTCTTACAGGGTCTAGCTGGCAAGTGACCAGTCGGATGACAACTCGCACTGAGCAGAGCGAAGTATTCTTATGCAAATCAGGGGCGGATCCAGGGTTATTTGAAGGGGACACTGATGCGAAGCCGACCTCCCCCCCCCCCCACCTTGGCTGAATCATAGTTTCAAACCGTACCAAATGGCACCGTTCGCCCTCTAAAATACAAAAAAATTCGGGGCACTTCAGCGGGCCCCGAACCCCACGCTAGGTCGACCTATCACTCCTAAAAACCGAACACCCCTTCAAATAATCCTGGACCCGCCCCTGTACTATGCCCCCTCAACACTTTTAGAAAGTTATTGGTCAAGACAGGTAACGTGCGCTCACCTGTCCATTGTCATATAGATGCACTGGTATGGTTCATTCAGAGTAAACAAATGGGGTGGCCAAGCGTTAAATACACAAACATGTTTTATATAAATACGTTCAAACAGACAGATAATAGACAAGAAATGGGTTGGAACCAGGATGTACACAGGATGAGAGAAACTTTGCTCAAATTTTCCCCACTCATCCTTTTTGTTACAGAGTGAATATCACCTAATTTTCGTTTTTTTAAATTTTTTTAAAGTTATTGTTACCCATACGCTGTAAAACACACTTATAACACTTTGATTTTACGGACAACTGTTAAGCCGTTAAAACCAAAGTCAGCGTTTTTTTCTTTTTTCTTTACGCAGGATGGACATTGACTAAAGTCAATTGGGCATTTAGGAGAGCTGAACACCGATTAGCTACTTTCTGTTTTAGATCTTCAGTACAAGCTAACAAATGTTACTCTTATGCTGTAACACCCATTCAAGACCGCACTTTTGTTTGTCAAACTATAGTGAAGCACTTGGGTCTTTCCTAAATTTGAGTAGACCAAAATTATGATTTAAAAGTTCAAGACCCAATTTCTTTCGCGAGCTGTATTGTGCAACCCGCCCTACGTGATACCCAGATGTACAAGAATACCAAAGTGAGCATTACATATTTATTAAAAATAATCCAGTTCTAGTTCACAATTACTTACAAGACATAACAGAATATTTGCTACTCCATACGAGTTCAACTTTACATACGTAAGTAAACTGAAACATCAATTTCATTGTTTTGTTTCCTTTACACCAATGACACAAAACTTGTAATGTGAAAAACATGTGGCATGATTAGTTTATCCGAATCATGTACCTGAAACCACAAAATTATTAACAAGCTGTTTATAAATACCTAAACACATAATTGTTTGCTGTACACTATACAGGGTTATTGCCCATGTACAAACTAAAGTCAGCTGATTTTTGGTAAAGTTCACAATACTTCCAAAATCTATGAAAGGTATTGAAAAAAAATTGTCAATTTACTAAACACCTTTTCTTAAGCACCACATTGTGTTTGAATAGCGAAATGATATCCTTTATGGAGACTGTAATTCTCAGTTCTTTTAAATACTATAACATCAAGTAGTGAAGACCCTCTTTCCTTAATTGGCACAAAGTTTTGTGTTCACTGGTTACAGCGTATTCTTTCTATTTGACTCTCTATTTTTTTTTTCAATATTCATGTTCATCATGAACAAAGCTGTTCTTACTAAGGTCTTTAGTCATGGAACGGCCAGACCTACTGTCAATATCAGAATCAATCAAACGACCTATCAGTGCTTTACTGAATGACCTCTTCTTCAGAGACCAGAAACTGGACAAGTTGATATGATGATATGACATGTCTAGAAATGAGCGACCGACTTCACAATTAAAGAACATACGGTAATGTGCCATGAATTTCGAACAGTAAAAAATAATTAAATTTGGGAAAAGATCGTTCTGGCCGAAATTCATGAAATGGAGATGCTCAGAACTTCCGAAAGTTCGAATTTCATGGAATTCTGTCAATTTTGACCGGAAGTTGTCTGTTCGTCGCTAGGCTTTCTGTTATCATCTCCCGACGATCTATTTAGAGTTACCATAATGTATGATGTGTGAGTGTCGGTAATTGCGACCAAAGGTATACACGTACTTTCACCCGATCACTGTGTATGGCCCATAGATAGAGCGGTAATGTTGTCTAGGGCCGCAAAACAGTATCGTTATCAGTAGTGTCGTTTTTCAAAAGCGATTCTGGCAGCCAGAAACAAGTGTCGTTTTTCAAAAACGATCCTGGCGCTCAGAACGGGAGTGGACGGAGGGAGAGACGGCCGACGATTAGCGTCTGCCACGGCCAGATAACCTTTACTATGGAAGCTTAGTGTTACCGTTGCTCCTTTCCGTGCACTGAAACCGAGACGACAGCCGATCAGTGTCTATGGCGCACGTGCAGGTAGCCTTCATCTGCGATAAGTGTCTTCCGCGACCAGGTTCGTTGCCTTTAC